GTGCCTACCGTGGATGACGATCGCGAAAGACAGAAGCGAATGACTTGTTGTTGGTGTTAGCAAATTAACAATTCGGACCGCAGAAGTGTAAGAAAGTTCTTGACCGGATGGATCACAAGTGAAGAGCTCCAACCACATCAAGGCTTCGAAAAAAAGGGGGGGGGGGGTATCTGAAATTTTGTTGCATCTACTCTAATCAAACCAGATATAAACTTTTTCGGTGCAAACCCGCTACGATACTATACAGGGCGCCCCAAAATTGTAGGCGTCAATTTATAGAAATGGGTTTAAAGTTTCTCAGCTGATAATGACAATGGAATCTATATAGACGTTTGTTCTGCTACAACATGCTCCAGTCAAATTCCGAAATATCCCATTGGACATGGATACAGGTCCAAAGTTTGCTCTCGAAGACCTCGCATGTGGCACGCAGGTATCCCTCACCATTTCTTCCCAGCCTTTTTTGATTTTTGCTCTCGAGGACTCCAAACTCGGAGTGCGGACCCGAAAGGTCTCCTTCTGATCAGGGATCATTCGAAGGAGTCAAAGGAGTTAATGTCTGGAAATCGGGATGGCCATTCCGCTTTGCTGGTGAAATCGGGCAGCTAGCGTCGGCACCATTCCCGGGCGAGCCCGGCTCTGCGTGCTGGAGCACCGTCCTGCTGAGGGGACCACGAGCTGTTTCAGGAAACGAAATGGGATCAGTGCTTCATTAGGTCCATCAGTATGCCCTTTGAGAACAGGTCTTTGCCAATTTTCGAGCTGGCACCGACGAAACCATGAGCGTCTTACCCTCGCCATTGGCTTCCTCAAAAAACATAGTTCAACTGTACTACCGAACTTTTTGGAAAGAATGCACGTTAGATGTTTCTAGTCGTGTCTCAACTTCAGCGAGTCGACAGCCTTCTCCATTTTTTCATCCTTCACTGACCATTTTAATAATCTTTACAAACATTGGCCACTCTACCTCTTCCTGGTTTGTTTCCGATTCAATTTTCTTTTATACATCATTTTATAGCTTCTTATTCAGTTATTATAAAAAGCCGAAAGAATCCCATAACGCCATTCCACCTCTCGCATGCCAATGATTGCAAGTGGTATTGATGAGCCTCCTGCTTCTCTAAGAGATTGGTTTTCCCTTCAGTCACCATGTTTTTTGCAAGAAAACCTTCCTATGCAACTAATTAATAGCGGGTGGAGGGAATTCGATAAAATACTTCGACCTCAAAAGTTTCTGAACTTGTACTGTACTTCCAACACAATGTTTGAAGCAGTCCTTTATGAGTACGCCAATAATGATAAAAGGAATAAGTGGTCTAGAAATACTTCATATATACATATAGGCATGTATATATATGTATATGTATAAGCGGAAAACATCAAATACTTCAGTAATTGAAATTTGCGACGATGAAGAATAAACCTACGTTTTGGGAGACTCGAACCTAGTTGGTTGTCTCACGACGGCTGACGTGACTTGGGACCGCTCGGCTTTTCGGGTTTCCATGCATCAGTTCATCACTACGCGTTCGGATACATTGCATCATGTCTTCATCCTCGGGCGAGTTCGACGACAGGGCGACGGAGCAGTGGCAGCCGAATACGACGACGACATGCAGATACACTGATGGATGTATTAGGTCAGAGCACGCCTTTACTACAGCCGACGCGAAGGCGCCGATACGCTGTTTGCACCAAGACCCACGCTTCCTACCAGGCACTGCCCTTTAAGAAGCAGGGCGGACACCACGACACGTTCGGCAAGTTTGAAAGGGTGAAACGAAGAACATATATGTCGAATGCAGCAGAAATGCAGATATACGCAGCAGATAGAGTCCAAAGAAAGTATCAAGCAGTTTGTGCTGGAGGCGGCAGCCATGTAAGAGGTTGGGTTTACTATATTGAATGTTCAGATTCGGAAGAAGAAATAGAATTAAATAATGGCACTGCGATATCGGCCTGCAGCACAGCAAAGGAATTTATATCAACTGGTATGTGCCTTCTTTTACTGCAGAGTTGGCGTAGTGACAAATCGCTCACACTACGGCGTCCGGAATCCGGGATCGGGGGTCGTATCTCGAATCGATATTCGCTTGAGCTAATTAGTTCTCGTACCTCCCCAGGTTCATTTATTCAATACCAAACTCCTCTGGGAGGATAAAAGCACTGACCAGTGAGTCGACTGATAGCCGCATTCCATTCTATAGTACGCATACGCGTATAGAATGCCACTACTATCCTGGATGCGAGTGAAATGCGGGAGCACGTTCCTTAGAAGATATCAATTAACGCAAAAACTTCATTTTCTGTTTTTTACGCGCTTTTTCTGCACTTAAAATGTCATGACTGATGAGCACTTTTGCGGAATAGTTTCTGCATACAGTCATTGAAATTCTTCAGAATCAAGTGGGGAATTAAAAACAGCGCTATCGGATAGCTCNCTCTATTCAGAATACTCGATCCCTCCGAGTGAGACTAACGTAGAAATCGAATGTGAGTTTGTTATTCACATATTCTACCTTCCATATCACAAACTTTTGTAGATGATATCATTGCCGACGCTTCTCCAGTAAGCACTGCAGTTGACGGTAGTACATCCTGGTACACATTGCCAAACTCTGAGACCGAAGTGGAAAGTGAGTCAGACATTCGTTAGAAATGGATAGGTTCTGTTAAACAACTCACTTGAGTACCCGCAAAATTCAGTGAATCCAACACTGGTGATCGGTGGGGTTCGTGTAGTAGACTCTCTTGAATGTATGCACCGATTGGAGAATACTAAGCTTCAACCTGTTGAGAAGTTTGATAACCCCAACATCAAGTTGTTGAGCACAGGTTAGTTTCATAAGATCCATGCTTTCGAAGAAAACAGTGTACAACAGGGTGGCTGTTTTAGGTGAGGCAGATACAAATACTGCAGAGCTGCAGTATGAATATTCCTACTATTCTGAGGGCCCTTCAGAAACGATCGTAAGTATGGATGGCCTCAGCGACTCTAGAAACAAAAAAGGTTCGCTGTTTCACACGCTTTTTCTCTTTTATCCTTGTCGCACTCAAAATGGAATCCGCCCCAGTGATGTGTTGATGCCACTCATCCTGATTAAAGTCTTGGTCGGCAGAGGAACCAACTAGTTCTGAAAACTCTTGTAAGGTATAATGATAGCGCCGCTTTCGTCGTCTCTTAGCTTGACATTCAGGCACTCCAATGATTAGACCTATTTTAAAAACAATGTTTTTGTCCGCAAGACATGACCATATCATCGAAGGCCAGCTTTGTGCACTTTATTGCAGAAGGGGCTCACTACTCCAAAATGTTTCTTCGTTGGATCGGTGCGAATACGGTTTAAAGGAATGGCCTCAGTCATTAATCACAGTATTTTTGTTTCCACTAACCCGAAACATGCTTCATTTTCTCTGATCACAGGTCAACACTTCGGAGCGTGAGCCGCGAGGCAGCCTTGGTCGCACGACTATCCTGTGAGCCGCCGATTTGTAGCGCCGTAGTATGTTCTTGCTGCGGAGAACGCCCGCCATCTAGCGTCATTACACGTGAAACTTTTGTATCACCTAGCTCATAGCTGGGTTATTGTTGCGGCAGCAACTTTTCGGATTCCCACAAATCGTGACAAACGATACTTGGATCAAAGTAATCACATCTGCCTTCTCCTCACCAGGCCCACTTCCTTTGACATGACTCCTTTCAGTGGAGCGACTTCAACCTGTAGTCCACGTTTCAAATCGTGGTACAGTCTTCGCATTTGTCAAGTCAGCGAACTCGACGATTCCCTCGCCATCGGCCCTGCGTGGCCTATATATTGGGTTGTAACAAGTTCGTAGAGTTTTGCGTTAGAGTTATTTTATAACGAATTATTTTATTTTCCAGCGAAATGTATGCATTCATTCGAGAGAGCTCTTTCTTCTCTACAAAACTTTCTTATTTGTTTTTAGGATGGTTTAATTGTTCATCTTTTTTTGGGCTTAGAAATGGAGTATCCAGGAAGGAAAAATTAGCATTTTCGACATTTGCTTTTCTTTGCTTTTCGTCGAGGCCAAAAAACAGCCATTTGCAGTGTATACGGGGAAGATGTCTTAGGTGTGTCTACTTGAAGGTGTGGATGGCCCCAGGAAAGGCGCCGAAGCCGAGAGTCAAGCAAGATCTTCACCCAAAAAAACGGTCATGATCTGCGTTTGGTGGGACTGGGTAGGCATGGTGCACTGGGAAACTGCTCGAACGAAACGCCACTGTCAAAAAGGAGGTCTACATTGCCCAACTGAACAGTGTAAATGAGGCTATTCGGCTGAAAAGACCTTATAGACGAGGTCAAGTCATCTTGCTCCACGACAACACCAGGCCCCATATTGCTCAAGACGTCAAGACAGCATTCCAAGAGCTTGAATGGGAGGTTCTTCAGCATCCACCGCACTCTCCGGATCTTGTACCTGCCGACTATCACCTTTTCCGCTCCATGTTAAACCAAATGAGGGGTGGTACTTTCGATGACGAAGGGGATCTTAAAAACTGGCTCAACAAATTCTTCGACACCCAAACGGCCGATTTTTGGCAAATCGGCATCAACAAATTCGTCGAGAGATGGGAGGAGGTCGTGAGCAGTAACGGAGGATTCATCATTGGTTAATTCATTATTACAATTATTATTTTTTGATTCAAATAAATCTTTGTGAAAAAACTCTACGAACTTTGTTACAACCCAATACAAACTCATGGCAACATTCCAAGTGTCAACGTGCCCGACAATAAGAATTGATTTTTGTAGTGTCACTTCCGCTGTCTAGCAGGCTCATCTAGCAAACCCCAAAACATTCGTATAATAGCTAATGGCTATCAGTGTGTGAAGCGTTCGATGGCTTTATTGAGTCCCGGAAACATTAGTGAGATAATAACTCTGGCACCGTTGGCAATCCTGGAACCGCCGCAGGGGATGGCTTTGAAATCGCTGCCATTATCTCTAGGCTCGCAGTTGGATCACCGTCTGCGCTACGCAGAAACCTCGTCTGCGTATTCTAGCGCACCATTAAGTAGCAGGAACGCGTGTCAATGTGACAACATTGAGTGTCGCCATTGATGGTGTGGATCGACATGATAAACCTAGTCTTTGCTCTACACTCCGTTCCGTGTGTCTCGAAGTGTGGCTCTTCAGCCCATTCTTCTGACGTAAACATTGGCACTCAAATCACCGATGACGACTTCAGGGTAACGAAGATTGTTGGGTCGAAGCTGAGCCACATCGTCTCAATCGTAGAAGTGCTATTCAGGTTGTCAAGCTTTCGTACAAAGCGATGTTCATGGCCAAGCGCGCATTGACGAGGATACCTTACACAGCTGATACGGGTGCGTCTCATGTTGCAAGGAGCAGTTCTTCTCCAGCTTCGAAAACGGAGGGCAGCAAGTAATGCCAACCTGCCTTGGTCAATCCTATGACGTCGTACTTCTCTTCCTAGCTTACGCGCCGGGCAGCTGATCCCGGCTAGTTAGTCAAGTGGTCAAGAGTGGACACACCAACCATGCGCAGACTTTCCACACACGTATGCATGAGTACACATGCGATGATACAAAAAATGCGGATCAACCCAGCACAGCAGAGTGAAGGTTACATGCTCTGAATCAGCCTGCGCCTCTGGGAGAGTGCCGTTGTCTTTTGCTCCGCGATTGCCTATCCTCTGTCTGAGACAGCGCCACGTGGCCCCGTCACCGACCGACTGGAGATCCTTTTGTGGGAGAGAAGCTTCAGTGGGAAAGCTCTCTATGTTGAACTGATGCGTAAGTTTTTCCCCCTACTTTTTTGTAAATATCTCAATAGCGAACCAACCCAAAGATTGAAAATATGCCACTCTACCATCCATTACTCGACGCCCATGCTCAAACAGCTTGTCGATTCCTTCCTCTCAGGACGGGAACTGGGGCTTGAAGAAGTCGAGGAGGTTGGCTTTCGGCATGGCTTCTGGCTGTCTCCTTTGTCGACTCACGGCCACTTCCTCAAAAGGTTATAGTAGAGAACCAAATTCTCATCTCTAGTGATCATCGAGTTGAGAAAGTGGAGCTTTCTTTGGGAAGTGAGGAGAGAAGCGCTGGTGGCCACCCTCCTCGAGAGGTCATCAGCGGATAGTTCATGTAGGACCCATCGAACAAGTTCCGCCACCTTGCCGAGCTGTTCCAGTCCTCGTACAATCGTCGATTGATTATAGCCGAGCATGGTCGCCATTTCCCTGGTGATTAGGTCAGGCCCTCTTCCACGGTGGAATGTAGTACTTCCAAATCCAACTCCATTGGCCGACCCGACATCGTAGCATCTTCGAGAAAAGAGAGTCGTTTCTTGAATTTGGCGAACCAAGACTGCATATGCGGTAAGAAAGAACGTCCTCACCGCATGCTCCCACTAGCTTGTTACGGGATTCCTTTGCATTCCAGCTGAAATTGTGAAACGAAACCAGGCTGTGGCTCAGATACATTCTGTTACAGTGGTGCGGCATTGCCGTCTGCACATGCAGGGTGGGTGAGTGATAGATAGTGTGCTGCAAGGGTATCATACACAGGTCACGCACACGTGACGAACTACCATCAAGCAAAACTGCGCAGAGCTTTTTCATAGTAATATAGTTTTGTGGCATTTCACCACTGCCGTCAGAGTAGAAAAAAAAGACACTAAAATGAACTGAGAAGAAGTGGAATGTACGGCTCCAAAAGCTAAAACAAATATTGGCAACTGCCGATCCTCGCATTGTCGACCGACGACTGGCACCGTAAGCGCTGGTAGACGCATGAGATCACTCGTTGACGCTCTGCTCTGGAAGATGCATAGTTTGCAAGCGATGATGGCATCATACTTCTTGCGTACGCTTCAAGAGATGTGCTGCTCTTGATTCATGCTTCACCGGCAATCTGCAGACGCGCACTGCTTGTTATTTTTAGCCTGCATGGCTTCACCATGACAGGTTTATTCTATAATTTATTTTTCTTTAGTGCTTACAAAAAATAAAAGCAGTTTAGGATTAGTTAATCAAAAGGAAGTCAACATGCCTGACCGTGAAAGTGCCAATTTAACGGCGATTGAATCTTAGTAAGTAACAAGGTTGATTCAAAAAACCCTACATATGTTCAACTGTAAAGGGATTTGACATGAAAAAAGAGGTTTCAGAAACTGAATGGCCTCGAGCTAAATCAAGAACACTCGCTCATTTTGTAGATTTCTCGTGGGGTTTTTTAATAAACGCTTTACGAAATAAAGTATTATTCTGATTCTTCTTNTTTTTGCATAAAAACCGTTTATGAAGAACATCTACATTCCAAACAATCCCTTGATACAAAGTCCGTCGAGGCATCGTGAAGGTTGATAGATGGTACAGTCGCTGTCGTGCGTGCAGAAAGGACCCACTGTGTACAAATTTCCATCCTGAGTGGTGCCACTGTAATATTCGAGTTGTAGCCTTTCTATGACACCGATTGACAGTTTCCATGTTGTTATAGTGAATTAGTATAGCCGGTAGGGAACTGGAACAGCCACTTACGACCATATCAGACAGACTTATCTCAAGGGTTAGGCTCCAAGGTGAGCCGCGCCGAGTATTTGAATTGCGTGGCATACTGTTCCAGACTAGGTGCTCAGTGTAGAAGGTTACAGAAGACAGATGCTCCGGACTGGCTGCTAATTTGCTGCCAGTTTTAGTCCAATACAATATCCCCGTTCACCTGCTTGAATCATGAAGTGTACCTCGACGTGGAGAACCGGATGGTCTATACTTCCCGCTATGGCAGTTGCATATTCCATTCATTCCAGAACCCCTTCCCTATTCTTTTCGCAAAACCCGAATTACAATACCCTTACTCAAGAGTTCGTTGCAACATAGCTTCGATGATATCATATCCTTATTCAAATCATCAGCTCAGTTTTATCGTCAACTATCAAAGCCTCGTTATTAGCCAACCTTTTGGCCGATTTCCAGTTCCGTTAAAGATTATTGTTTGTGCATTATGGGCAGTATATGTATAATATTAATATGGAATCACCATAGGAAGGTTCTTCCCCGAAGAAAAGGTCCGAAGAAATGCACTAACCACATCTCTCGCAAAAGCAGATCCTTTGTCTCATGCATACGAGGGTTGCCTTTTATATTTCGGGATTCGGAAACACTAGTGTAGCAATCAAGCAATTGACACCACTGTCGAAAAGTTTGACTATTTTGAGGTTCCGTTGCGAAATTTGAGCGCGATTTGTGTTGTTTACACTAAGTTATAAGATTTTGTTTAGGCCAAGTTATGGAGTTGAACCGTGAGCATTTTCGCGCGATTATTTTCTACATCTTCCTACGTGGAATAACTCAACAGCAATGCATGGATGAACTTAGTTCAACTTTTAGTGATGAAGCTCCATCCAGGGCCAGTGTTTATCGATGGTACAATGAATTCACCCGAGGTCGCAGTTCACTCGAAGACGAATTTCGTGGAGGTTATTCAAAATCAGTTGTCGCTCCAGAAACGGTTGATGCTGTGCACAAACTAATACTGCAAGATCGTCGTGCGACCTATCGTAAGATTGAGGCAATCTTAGGCATTAGTGGGACTAGCTTACATTCAATTTTGCATGAACATTTTACTGTAAAAAACTGTTTTTAAAAAATTGGTCAATCGCCCAAAGGAACTCGTGTCGATTATTCGAAAGAAAAGCCCAAAACATACGATCGCGATGCTTCGAAACACGTCTGTGACATCGAGACAGGTGATGGATCATGGATTTATGCGTATGAGCCCGAAAGTAAATAGCAGTCGGCCGTATGGGTCTTTCAAGATTAGGCAAATCCAACAAAAGTTGTCCGCGCACCAAGCACTTCCGAGCAGTCGATCTCCTGTTTCTTTGGAAAAACTGGAAATGTCGCAACCGTACCACTGGAACAAGCAGAACAGTCAATTCTGAGTATACCACCATTTGTTGCCAGATGACTTCCAAAAGATCAGGAAAACCAACTGCTGAAGACGGATCACTCTTTACCACGACAATGCGAGCTCCCAGACATCGACCCAAACAACTGCATTTTTTGAGCACTCAAAACAACGATTTGACAGGTCACCAACCATGTAGTCCCCGGATGACTTCTTCTCATCCCGTACGTAAAAAATAAAATGAGAGGTCGACGTTTTTCGACACCTGAAGAAGCCGCTGATTCGTTCAGAATGCATGTTTTAGAGTTACCTTAATCAGAGTGGCAAAAATGCTTCAAAAATTGGTTCGAACCCNTGCAGAAGTGTATAGATCTTAATGTGGAGAACTGTGAAAGGCAGTCAAGCGATTTGCAATAGATAGTATTTGTTCCTGTTCTCAAATCCCGAAATATAAAAGGCAACCTACGGTATTAACAGTCACCCTCACCGCTACTCCAAATAGCCGCTTCGCACAGTTACGCCCACTTTTTAAGATTGTTCATGATGAGCACTCACCTGGAACTACCTCCATAAACTCATTCAGAGAATCATTTGGCAAATTCGGAATGTAGATCCGAAATCAGCCCTTAGAAATACGTTCAACACTGTAACTTTCATAGTGAATGGCCAACTTGTAGCCATTCCCTTGTTAGGTCCATCTACCTTCGCGCTCGTCTCGCTACCACCGCAAATTAATCGTCCTTACTTCAACAGCTTCTGACTATTTTTCGGACTCTAGAATCATATCTGAAGAAGACATTTCGAATCTGGAAGCAAGCTCCGCCTGGCAGGAAAAGCTTCGCTTGTCCTCGACAATTTCGGAGTACCTAGTTCTGAATGAATAATGGTAACGATAGTTCAAAATAGTGCAAAACATGGGCCGAAACCGCCAAAAACCGTGTCATTGAAGCAATATAAGCATTCAAAAAAGTAGTAAAATTGAAGGGTTGGATTAGTATGTGGTGTCAAAGTTGCATTAAGGTGGGGGGGGGGGGGGGGGGGAGTGCTCGGACGAGCTGTCCAAATGTGGATGCCGTCGCGAATACCTGGCTGGTAATCTGCCTGCATGCAAAATGTGTGCCTCATGAGGATTGTGCAATATCTACAGCCTCCGCAACGACGTAAGGACTTGTCCGCTTTGCGTGCAAGTTAGCTACGCCGTTTTTGAGACTCTTATTTCATCCTATCTGAGCCGTTTTTCAACCCGACAGTGTCGCTTATGCTATCCTTTTAGTCGCAGGTTCATTCTTACAATGAGAAGAAATCTCAGAAACCATCCCCATCGTGAACTGTGCTTTTAAACATGCTTACTTTCGCAACTATTTCTGATCTCCAGAATTTCGAGGGATTGTGTCATGAACTTATTTGGAATCCCTCTCGGAATAAAAATGAAAAGGAACGGAATCAAACTTTTACATTTCCTATACATATATAGCCAACGTGGGCAGAGCTCCATTGAGCCCACATGCGCTCTGTTTATGGTGCCCGCTGTCAGAGTCGTTTTACAATACCTCCAAGACCTTTGCAAGTGCTTCTTAGAGCAGAAACGAATTCATCACGAACAAACGACAGACAGGTGCAAAGGCTGCACATCTAGTAAGACAAATGGAAACGTGGAATCGAAGCAGATTCCGCCACCTACTTCAGAAGAACGTGGTCTCACAAATGACTAAGGATGGGGATACGGAATTTGGAATATGCACTTCACAAAATGCATATAACAAAGCATACCTAATCTCCGTAGTGAAATACTCGTTTCCGTGACTTTACAAAACTATTAGGTTGAGTCATAAGTCCTCGGACAAAATGGCAATGATAATACTTATCCTACAATTTTTAAACGACAATAGCGAATCACTTGAAATATGCCCCATCGCATCGATGGTCTTCTGCCAACGCTTGGGCAGATCGTAAATGCCCTTGCTTTAGAAGGCTGGGAGCTGGCCCTTGTAGAACTGCCCCAGTGCCATTTTGATGTTGTCGCGGGTTTGAAAGTCCTGACCATCCAGATGACGTTGAAGATGGGGAAAAGGTGGTAGTCCGAGGGATCCAAGTCTGAGGAACATGGTTGGTGTGGTAAACTTGTCCTACCGAAATTCGTCACTTCAGTTTTGGTCGTTCTTGCAATGCGAAGGCGAGCGCTGTCGCGCTGGAAGTAAACTTTGTGCTGCTGTGGAAGTGTAGTTTCGGGATTCGGCTCCAAATTCCTCAGTTACGAAACGGAGACGTGTGCGGTCACTGCGCATCCTTCGTCAAGCATCTCCCATTATTCAACACACTGAACGCTCCGCCAGAACCAGTGCATAACCTCCTTCGCGTGTACGTTGGGTTTGGGGAAGTCTTATGCATCCGAACCTTTGTCAATCCATTGAGCACGCCGGTGAACGTTAGAGTAGAGGTTCGACTTCACACCCCTGGTGACCAGGTACTCGAGCCACGTGTGGTGCCCTTGAGCGTGAAGAGAGAAAGTGCATCGTCGTCGCGGTGGTCTATGTCATACTGCTTCAAAGCATGAGGCACCCATCGGCCGAGCTTTCGCACCTTGCCGATTGACTTCAATCCACGAATAATTGTGGACTGACTCCCCAAGGGTGACTGCCAGTTCACGAGTAGTTTGATGCGTATCGGCCTCCACCTGGCTTCGCAGCACGTCCAAATCCAACTCCATTGGGCATCCCGGACGGTCTTCATCTTCGATAGAATAGTCGCCCGATGCGAACTTCTAGTGTCACTTGCAAATTGTACACATCCTGCTTGTGAATGTCCTTCATACCTCTACCGTTGCCGCGGGTTCATGGCCCGATAAAAAAATAAATATGATGGTGTTGCGGATGTGGAGTTGCGACGGCTTGAAATCATGAGGCACAGTTGCGGGAAAGGAAACAGTTGGGTGCGTTTTCCAGTATGCATTTGGAAGAGCTTTCCATACTCTATCCAACAATGCCTCGAGCGTTCATTTTCGTCACCTCTTTCCCGAGTTATGATCGCTAGAAGTCATCACTATCACATTGTCCGAGGAGTTATGACTCAACCTAATACAATAACCACCTTATGAATTAGACAATGGTGTAGAAGCCGAATTGGGACTTGTCCTTGCTACTACAAGTTCACGCATATTTCAGAGTACTCATAGGAGTGGGGGAGGTAGTGAGGGAGCGACCCAGAAGGAATGTTCGGCGAACGAAAAAAATTGCAATTCAAGACGTCGAACACCATGGCGGTGTATCGC